GAAACCGGAATCGACGGTTCCGGTTCCTAGGTACCCAGAACCAGAATCTGTAACAACGGTTCCAGTTTCGATTCCGGTTCTGGTTCTGGATACCCTATAAAATAATAATGACCCCACAAAAGTTTTTAAAATGGCAAAAACTCTTAAAAACTTACAAATACCCCCCCACCTGAAACTTGTTAACAAAAATAAAATTCAAAATTCAAAATTCAAAATTACAAATTCCATTACTTTGTAAAGATAGATTCTTAAAAGTCAAACCAACTTATTATGAAATATAAATATAAATGTATTCACATTACTTTTTCTACAAAAGCTTTTATTAACCCTCAACTATTTAATTTTATTTTATATTAGTCTCGGTTCCTAGTTCTGGTTCCGGTTTCTAACTATAAGAACCAGAACTGGAACTGCACAGTAACGGTTCCAAAAATTTGGAACCGAAACTTACCCGTTGACGACCGGTTCTCGGTAGGAACCGGAACCAAACCCCGGGTACCTGCCTATTCCGGTTCCAATCGGTTCTTTTGAACACCCCTAATATATACCATATTGTAGTTGACATCCAATGATACATTTCTAAATCATTTGTGGGTAGACTTGGCAATAGATGACTCGTACCCGCGGTTAAACAGATACCGGCACCTAATGAGCGGGTACAGGTATCCCTCCAAAAGACCCGTTTCAAAGTGACCCGTACCTAGCCTGTTCGCAAAATTTCCGAGTGGGTCGGGTAATACCCGCGGGTACCCGCAATTGAATTTAAAAAAATAATAATAATTTACAATACAATTTTTTGTTAACAAATATTCAAAATTCAAAATAAGTAATAATTTACAAAAAAAAAAAAAAAATCTTGAAGACTAAAGTCAAACTCAAAACACAACTCTCACTCTCTTAGACTACAATCACAGACTCACAGTACACACTCAACTCTCACGCAGCAGCAGCACGCTCATGACTCTTTCACAGCTCACTCATGCAGGACGCAGCCATGGTCAGAGTTCACTATCGCCAACGAACGACAGCTGCCAAACCCAAGAGTACACACTCAACTCTCTTCGCTCATGCAGTAACAACAAGCTCACAAGTCCTTCACAGCTCACTCACGTAGGATGTAGCCACGGTTAGAGCTCACTATGGCCGACGAACGACAGCTCCCAAACCCAGGCCGTCGCATACAAAACCGTAGTAGCTGCAACTCTCCTCTCATTGTCATTCTGCTCTGATGACTCTTAACTCAGTCTCAACTCTCTCGTGCTCGCTCATGTCGATGAGCGGTGGCTCCCAAACCCAGGCCATGGCTAACAAAACAGCAGCAGCTGTAGCTCTCCTCTCACTCTCATTCTACTCCGACGCGACTCTCAGCTCAGTCTGAACTCTCTCACCCTGTCACGCCGACGAGCGACAGTTTTTGCTGTCCTCTCGCTCTCATTCTCTCTCACTTCGATGTCGCCTAACTCTTAGTAGCAACCGTCACTCTCAAAGGTAAACGCTTTTACCAAGTTGTCAAATGCTTTAGGCAAACAAGACAATACATTTAACTACCATTATTTGCACCGTGAGAATTGAGTTTTGATGCATTATTTGCATTTTGACTTGTGCATTGTGAGCATTGAGTTTTTTGTATGATTTCGAATTTCTATTAATGTTAGAATCATTATTTGCATTGTGATTTGTGAGCATTGAGTTATTGTAGTTGAGAAGTGTTGACTGTTGAGTTGGAAAAATCCAGCCATTTGGTAGGGCTGGTTTGCTTGTAAAATATATGGGAGTTTTTTTTTTTTTTTTTTTTGAATGAATTGTTATGATTGATTGATTAATTAATTTAAATGTAAATACTCTGTTGTGTCCTTTAGATTGGCTTGGCATGGAGGAGTCTACAGATTTGTTGAATGAGGCACTAGAAATGGGTTGTAATGTAGTCGTAGGTCAACCTCCTTCTAGTGGTAGTACTGTTTGTCCAAAAAGACGTAAAGTTTCAGATGTTTGGGGTCAATTTACAATATATGAAAGACAATGGGGATGAGCGGGCAAGGTGTTTGATTTGTAGTAAGTCTTATGCATATGATAGTTCCACTCATGGGACTAAGAATTTGAGGTATCATATGGAAGGTTGTCCTAAACGTACCGTTAGTAGTGTAGATCAAATGATGATAGATTGTGATACTAAATTGAGACGTTTGAGGATTTCTCTAAATTGAGACGTTTGGGGGTTTCTCAGGAAATTTATCATGAGAAGATGACAATAGGAAACATAAAACATAATTACCCATATTCAATAGTGCAGCATAAAGGAATTAAGAATGTCCACATGTATCTGAATCATGAAGTTAAGCCTTATATTAGGAAGACCGCTAAGGCGAATTGCTTAAAGATATATTATAGGGAGAAGGAAAAGATTAAGCTCGCTTTAAAGAGGGTTTCGGGTAGAATATGTTTGACTTCTGATATTTGGAGTTCTTGTACTACTAATGGGTATATTTCTTTAACAATCACTGTGTTGATGAGAATTGGGAGTTACAAAGTAGAATTCTTAATTTTGCCATATTCCTCTTCCACACTCAAGGGCTCTTTTGTCAGAAATAATGTATGATTTCTTAAAAGATTGGGGGATTGAAAAGAAAGTCTTCTCTCTTACATTAGACAATGCAAGTAATAATGATAAAATGGAAGACATTTTAAGGAGTCAAATTTGTGTGCAAAATACTTTATTATGTGGTGGTTCTTTTTTTCATGTGCGATGTTGTGCATATATCTTGAATCTTATAGCCTAAGAAGGGATAAAGGTTAGTAGTGTGACTTTACATAAGATTCGTGAAAGTGTGAAATATGTTAAAAGAAGTGAGGCTAAAAGAATCAAGTTTGGAGAACTTGTTAAAAAAATTGGTGTGATAAGCATAAAAGGATTGAGAATAGATGTTCCCACAAGATGAAATTCTACTTATTTAATGCTTGAAAGTGCGTTAATATACCGGTGTGTGTTTGTTCATTTGTCATTGAAAGATCCCAATTATAAAAGTTGTCCTTCAGATGAAGAATGAGATTGGGGGGGTGTTGGGTGAGGATTTGCAAGTTCTTGCAACCATTTTATGACATCACTACTCTTTTTTCGGGTTCCCAATACCCCCCTAGCAAACTTGTAGCTCAGAAATGTGTGGAGAGTTCAAGTGCGTTTATACGAAGATATGGAAAATGAGGATGGAGTTGTTAGTACCATAACAAGTCAAATGAAAGTAAAGTTTGACAAATATTGGGATTCTTATAGCGTTGTGTTAGCAATTGCAGCCATTGTGGACCCACGTTTCAAGTTTGAGTTTGTTGAGTTTTGTTACAAAAAAGTTGATGGCCTAATAGTTGCATTAAAAAGCTGGAGTTGGTAAGCAGGAGTTATATAAGCTTTTTGCTGCTTATGAGGGTCTAAGTTGCAATGCGGTTCTGGCGATCCTTGGGTACATACTAGTAGTCCTAATATCCTTGGAGATGATATTTGTGTAAGTCACTACTCCCTAAATATTTTTTATATTCTTGTGATTAATAAGGTTTTGTTTATTTTGTAATTTTGCTTTATTAAATTTAAATATTTAAATGATGTAGGAATTTGACCACTACAAGAGTGATTTTAGTGCTACTAAGAAGTCCGAATTGGATACTTATTTAGGAGAGACAAGGTTTGATCGCATCAAATTTTACAATCTGGATATCCTGGACCATTGGAAGAAAAATATTGATCAATACCCGATACTTTCCATGATGGCCCGTGATGTGATGAGTATACCAATAACAACTATTGCTTTAGAGTCTAGTTTCAGTGTTGGTAGCAAAGTGCTCAGTAAATATCGAAGTTTACTTTTATCGGAGAATGCAGAGTCTTTAATATGCACCAGGACATGGATTTTTTAATATGAAGTTAAAGGTAACATTTTAACTTATATTTCACGTGTTTTAATATTTTAGTTTGTTAATATATTACAATAATTAACCTATATTTTGTTAATTGTAGAAGATGAAATTGATGATGCTCAGCTTATTGTGCCATTAAGCCAAGTGCCAGCGAAGAAGGAGATTACATAATCAAGAGTGGCTTCTAACGTCATCAATGTGTAATAGACTTTGTTTGTTTAGTGTGTTTGGTATTATGTATGCATGTTGAATATTGAACAATTTTATATGTTTAATGTTTACTAATTAGTAATTACTATGTATGTTTAGTGTTTACTAATTCTATATATGTGTAGTGTTTAAAATTAGTTATTACTATGTATATTTAGTGTTTACTAATTCTATATGGTGAAATATGATATAAATATGAAAAATATTAATAATGAATTAATGATGTTTGATAAAATCTAATCAAATTTAATTTAATCATCCATTTATTTAATATAATTAACCAAGTTATTCAAGCTTAACAAAGGAATTTTATACGAAGTTTTTAAATCAATACAATTTACGTCTTCAAGTATGCAATTTGAATAACAAAAAACAATGAAAAAATAACAAAAACCTGAAATTTTTTTTTTTTTTTTTTTTTTTTTTTTTTTTTTTTTTTTTTTACAAAAAATGCCATTATATGCGGGTAACTCGTAGAAAAAATTGACCCGTGCTCGTTTCACCAATGACCCGTAGATACCCGACCCGTACCTGCCCAGCCCAGCCCAGCCCGCCCGTTTGCCAAGTCTATCTGTGGATAGCCTAGATGGTTATAACAAATTAAAGATAATGTGAATAGGCATATAGTCTCATGTTCGATTTTCTATTTGAGCATCTAGGGTTTAAGAGGGAGGTCGTGGCAGTGAATCGCTATGCTAGTCTTCCCGAAGAATTAATCAAGGTGCATGTAATTTGGATCGATATTGAAATGCTCACATATGTGAACCGCGTATAAAGTCAAACGGTGATATGCAGTTAGAAAACTCAAATTACATAGCAAGAAAATATTTCACACAAATACCGCATCCGAGGCCAACTGCTAATAAATAGAGGGTAACTGTAAATTATAACTTCATCTGAGAATTATACTCAATGAATAAAAATAACATTTTTCTCTCAGTGTGTTTCTTTAACTTTCTCTCATTTTCCCTCACTTTCTCTCCAACCAAAAATCAAAAATCAAATCTCTCATCTAAATTCTACAAAAATCTATATTGAAGATCTCAGGACCTTCAATTATTTGAAGAAATTCGTTAAGTTATGATGTAGCAAACTAGTGAACATATTATACAGCATGAGATAATTGTGTATATTAGCTAATTCAGTTAGTAGGGTCTCTTATTGTTTACACGAGGAAGAGGTCTCAAGATCATATTCCAACGCAACACTGAGGTTGAGGATTTAATAAGTGACAGCGAAAATATTTAAGAACAGAAAACCAGATATATGGAAAGACAAAACAACTATGAGCCTTGAAGAACCTTTGTTAAGGTACTCTGCAATACAGCAACTGAATCTATGGCAGACTTGGCGAGCCAGCTGACTCCCACTTTAAGCCTGTGCTCGTCTGTCGGTAATCGTATCAAGTATGCAATTTTCCTTGCTGCAATAAGGGGAAATTCAAAGCTAAAATACAATGCCCAAGCTGAGAGAATTCTCCAAGGTTCTGAGACATGTATAACATTACCGGTATGGCCAATAGGACCTTCTAAAGTTAGCCCCTCGACGAAACTTGGAGAAAGAGCAGCATCATTTCTTCCCAGAGTCATCATCTCACCTAAATTTTGAAACCTGGAAACAAATGGACAAGGTTATGTGGATTTCATGTTTCCATAGATGGTCTATATTATGCAATATATTGGCTGAAACATGTAGCTACATCTAGGTGTTTCGGATTAAAACTTAACAATAAAAAAGGTTTCCTAATTTCCAACCTAAATGGCAATAATGGACGGTCATTGATTGCTGCCCACAAATTCCAACCAGTAAAATCAGCTTGTTGAAAGGCGACCTGAGAAGGTGGGCATGAAAACAACTTGAATTGACAAATAAGTAGAAAATTTACATTACCAAATCAATATCAAGGCATAAAAAAAATTTCAGTGCAGAGTTGAAGTACTAGCATTATACCTGAGCAGTGGCTGGAAGAAGCCTTCCATCTGAGTCCCTTAGAGCCGAAGAGTCACCAAGTGCAAATATACGTGGATGGCCCTTAACACGAAGAGTTTCATCTGTTTCTGCTTGTCCTCGGGCATTGATGGGAAGTTCTTGGGGGTTCCTTGAAGGTTCCAGTTGAGGAAGAAGAGGTTTAGACCCAACAGTCCACAGTACTAAATCTGCTTCAATACTTTCACTTTCTAATCCCTTTATAGCTGGTTGAAGTTCCAATATATATTTTTCAGAATTATGTTCACTTGCAATATTCAGAACTGATGCACTAGCTACAGGTATTACTGAAGTGTCATCTTCACCAACTCTTCTTATGCAGCTGACAAAATAGCCCAAGAGAAGTTGAACTTTCCTAGCTGAAAGAACCTGGCAACAAATAACACACATAATGTAATCCTACAACTTAAGAGTGAAGCATGCTGATTTAAATAATGTTTCAAGTGAAAGGCAAAAGCAAGAAGCACGATGCTAAAAAAATTTGAATCCTAACTTCTTAAATTAATATAATTAATGAAGGTATTAACAATGACCTCTCCTGAGCTTTGAGGAAAGTATTAAATCATTCAAGGCTACTTAAACTTTTCATCTTAAATCATGTGACATTAATCTTATCTTAGTTTATTAATGGCTTTGAGGGAGGTCTCATTACAATATTAGAACTTTTGGGTCTAATAAATATTTCTCTCAAACCTCAGGGGAGATCATTGCAAATTACCTTAATAGATGAGAATATATTATAAAAATTAGAACACAATGAACAAGAAAAAAGAGAAGACAACTTGGCTGCATTTAGTAGGGCTATCACTTAATAGCCATTCCAAATGACACTCAGCGTACTTACAGGTGGTACCAGTTGAATCCACAATATGCTCTATGAACTTAACAAAAGCAAAATCAAGAAATCTTGAAAAAAGTTCACTTATCCTACAGCTAAAAAATAAGTGTAAAGATGCAGTCCATTTTGAACCCATACAAATATCACAGAACATATTTTCACATCCCAGAATCAAGACATCTTACTTTCAACGCAGCTTCTCTACTGCCAGTGGGGGCAGCTGGACATATGGTTGTTTCCACGTTAATAGCTTGTACTATTCCTCTATCCTCCAGCCTCTCTGATAGTGTTGCAGCTAATTCAACCCCAGAGTAACCACAACCAACAACAGCGACACGAATCAGGAAGCCCTTGCCAAAGTTCCTCCGCTCCAATGCACTTAACTTTTTGTCAACTCTCTGCATCAAAAGGATAACAACATGAAGACCCAATAAAAGTAACCTTATTGAAGTTGTAAAAAGATATCTGCCCTAAGATATGAATAAAGAGAAATATTCCATCCAATCCAACTCTTACACATGCATCCTCCAGTGTGGAGAAAGGCAATGCAAACTCTGCAGCACCTGGTACAACATCAAGTTTCGGTTCAGCTCCCAAAGCAAGAACCAACCTGGCTGCCCAGGACAAGAATGTAAATTATTTGGGACCTCTAAAGTCACTTAAACTGAAACACAAGAATAAATATGCCTAGAAGATGATAAAAAGTACGTCTTATAAATACCCCAAAGTGTAATTCCACTGTCAGTTCATACAATTTTTGGCTATGCATAATATTATCATTGCATTCCATCAGGCCATTCTTTGGCCTTTTACATAATTATAAGGGTCAATCTAGAAATTGTGACATATATCATCAAAGTTCTAACATGAAACAATAATGCTTTTAACAGAAATAATAAAGGGGTGAGGTACTGAGGTTAGGATAACATAAACCATACCAGTCATACTCGATCAAGAGGCCACTTTCAAGCAGTACAGTTCCTCCACATCTGGATGCCATTGGGCTGCTCATTCCCAAATGGTCAGAGGGAGTCAAGAGTTTCACCCTGTCTTTGAAAAACTGCACACCAGTATTTGCAAGCAACTTTGAAAAATGAGGAGCTATTTCCCATGTATCTACTTCTGCTTACACATACTTATTTTCAGTTTCATAGCCATGAAAAGAAAAAAATGTATCCCATTTTGAACATCCAGGTAAATCATCAATAGTATAAGAAAATGCCAGCACAATTTAACCACAGAAGGTCAAACCTCTAGAAAGAAGCTCGTACAACATTGGCTTGAAAACAAAACGTTCAGACTGATCAACGAGAAGTATCTGGTGTCACCACATTCAATGAAAATTAAATGGTTAATGAATGTTTAAATGATACACGTGTAGACAATAATTAAGATTCCGAAGCACCAACAATGTCAATATAAATTTTCTCTCTTCTTGCTCGTTGTTTCAGGGAAAGAAGTTGCTACTGAACATCAGTGGTTAATTATTCTTTTGTAATATTCTTGGTATTTGAAATGAGTTTAATTTGCTTGGAAGACAGTGTAGTTAAAGTTAATTGCTTAACCTTGATAGATGTTTACCAAGATTTTCTTTATCTTCTGCTTCTTCTTTTCTTTGGACAGGAAACGGAATAGAAAAATAGTAGACTAAGAAAGAGAGAAAGAAATACATTTGTGTAGCGCCCTGGCCTTCTCCCAGGATTAACATCAATGTGGAATCAGATGACTAAGTTTAATTAGTTATTTAAAGAAAATTTTCAAGATTTAAGTGTATTACAATTTCAAATCAAATTAATAGCTAAAATTTGGTTTTCCGAATTTTGACTTAATTATTAAAGTAGGATTTGAATGACTTACAAAGAATAGGTTCGTAGTTTCTTAATCTGCGTATCGCGTGGCTACAGTGAATAGGTGTCATTTTATACAGATCAATGCAAGAATAATACGATAAATAAGTTGTTTCCTCCCAATTTCTTATCCTTGCCTCTAGTGGCTTCTTGCTTCCCTCTTCTCTCGAACCCTATTCACTCCTCAACTTCTATCCTTTTCTCTTCTCTTTCCCATAATTTCTCCCCTTTCTGATTATTTTCTCTCTTTCTTTTTTCTTTCCCTTGTCCTAGATCAAGCTTTCCTTTGTACATATTATATCATTCACATGAAAGCAATCATTTTCAGTAAACAAACTTTATAAACAAACAGTTCACTGAAAACCAACAACAAAATAAAATTTTGGCTATCAATCTCTTTGTGAGGGAGATATGCTTGGTCAGAAGGATACTGATAATTAGGGATTGAGGAATTATTTTTATTTAAGACAACAGGGATATAAATAATTTCTGTGGGTACTCAAATGGTTAGGGTGTTTGTCTTATCAGGATTAAATCACTTTTAGTTCAGAGTAGATTTCTTTTGCTCGTGATTTAGGCTATTATAAATAGGCCATATGTTGTCTTCAAAGAACACTGATTGATTATTTAAATAGTAGAATACTTGAACTATTTCTCTTTAATCTCCCTCCAAGATCTGTTCCCTTTTAATCTAATTCTCTCCTCCATCTTTCTCTCTTCTTCACTTCTTTCTTTTACTTTCAGGTCCTAAATCAATTAATATCAAAGTTCATTTTACCTAAATCAGTCTCTTCCCTTTTTGTTATGTCCAATGTCAATTATACTAGAAATCCTTTGTCCTACATCACTAGGCAAAAATCCCCAATCTTCTAATTTTAGTCTTTGACAACAGAAGTTGGGTTAGGCAACCTTTTCTAATGTTTCTGAAAAGATATTAAAAGCAAGTTGTTGCATTTTAAGGATTTCTTATGAACTTACAGTATCAAGTTTTGAATTTGAAGCAGCCAAATCAAATTAATCTTTTGTTACTTTATTTAGCAGAAGGGTGGATATTGAGAAATTCTTTATACCACTTACAGTTAGAGGTGTGCTTTAGGAAGTTCATTAAAACTTAGAGTCAAATTATAAGGGTTGTCAATTATAATTTTTTTCCCTAGTTCTACAAAGTATTCAAAACTCAGGGGACTTGAAGGAACACTATTTGGGTTTCTCTTTTTCATTGGAGGAAAAAGTTAACCTTGTCTTGTACTTCAAGGTTCTCCTTCCTTCATGCTTAGCAACCGGGTTAAGATTTCAATGAAGCCAAAGAGGTGTTTTAAAGAGCAGGTGAGAGATGAAAGTGTTAAGATCAAGGGTGAGGACTTGACCATTGGGTGGCAATGGTGGTGATTTGGTGCTCCCCAAACAAGTGAGTTTGGGATGAGGGGGAAGAAATGTTGCTGTTCATGGTGGAGTGTAGCGTTAGGCAGTGAGATACCAAACTCATGATTGAAGTTCTCCAAAACTCTAACGGAATTTGTGGAAATCTTTTAAGGATTAGTTGTTATTTAATACGGTATGAACTTTTAAAAAAAATGATCAACAAATAATAAAGAAAGAAGAATGCTGTTTCAATTAATAGATAAAAATTGAATACAATTTGGATGTTTGTCACTAATGCTTTCTTTGTTTTAGTAAAGAATTCAGTGAAATAATTTATAAGTTATGCCCTTCAGTTATAATGATCTATGGAACTACAACTTTGTAGAATTATGATAACTTATAGGATAACAAATTGCTAGCAAGAATATGCAGAATTACATTCATTAAGCAACCCCTCGAGTAGCAAAAGTAAGCTGAAACACTCATTTGCATTAAAGAACACAATTGAAAAGCACTCAGATACACCTAGAATATCTTAAAATAGATCAATCAATACTACAACTAGTACCAATCTAAGCAATCTCGCCTTCTAGTTATTGAATTCCAATTTTCTTCCACCATCCAATAGAAACTTCTTGTAGAAGCTAAGGTACTTCAACATATCAGTAGTATAGTTTTTATCTGAGAGTAAATTTTGTATCCATATTTTTAAGAAACAAGAGAAAATTTACTAATAAAATGAGATTTAAAAGGCTCAACAAGCTGTTCATGAAAATGAGGAAGAACCTAAAGATGCAAAAAAATGGTCTATATAGGTTATATTAAATGGCTCTCAAAAAGCTATGACCATCTCAAAAGATAAAACCAAGAGACAAAATTACCCCAAAACTCCCATGCAATTTGTAAAGAAAACCAAAGTGTACTGTTAATCTTTCAAGAAAGGGCCAATAAGATAATAATAAACGGATTCTGTCCTAGGAAGCAATGAAGTCTTGCTCATGTCAATCTTCAAAAATCCTTATACTTCATATTTGTCTAAATCACCAAAAATAGTAGCCAAGAATGCAAAACTCTATAAACTTTGGTCTTTCTCCATTGCCTAAGACATGAAAATGTATTAAAAGAAAAGAATTAGAAGTACACCACAGGCTTAAGCAAACATGCAGTGTAAGAAGAGATGATAAACAGTTCCATTTGCAACTTGTATTTGGGTTGATTTATCTATCAACTACTTCCATTTGCTACTTGTATTTGGATTGATTTATCTAGCAACTATTTCCATCTGCTACTTTTCCTGCATGTTCATTTGGGTTGATTTATCTATCAACTACTTCCATTTGCTACTTGTATTTGGATTGATTTATCTAGCAACTATTTCCATCTGCTACTTTTCCTGCATGTTCTTCTCTGTTCCACAAGAAGTCTTGTAGGAACAAACTACAGATAGCTAGACCAAATAATACAACTAAAAAGCAATGTGCTTTATTTTAAAGCAGCTGTTATAACGTTTACTTCATGAAAGATGAATGACAATAGTTTAAAAGTTAGGGGAAATAAAAGAATAGCAATAATTGCAACAAACAACATACAAAAAACTTACTTGCGGCTTTTTGCCATCAGGCCACACAAGTGACTCTAGTCTTAAAGCAGTATACAAGCCTCCAAAACCACCACCTAATATACAAACTCTTGGATTCTGTAACCATAAATTATTTGTTGTCAATACAAATGATCAACCAAGAATTTTAATTTTTCAATTGCTTTATCTGGACAGGAAAAATAATGTCACAAACACAGCAATATGGTAGCAATATATGAATTGCAGCTCGACACCTGCAGACAAAAAACACATAACTCCAAAACTAAGAAGCCTAAATTGAATTTGATTTAACCCTAAAACAATAAAACTCAATCTCCAGAAAAAAAAAAAGGGCAATCTTGCATAACATAGATTCTCAAATTAGAATTTAAAAAAAAAAAAAAAAAAACTAAATTACTAAAACTAGAATCAGATAGAAATTTGCAATAATTTTCCTTTTTCCCAGAAAAAAAGGGTCACCATTGGAAGAATTTAGGATGGAGGAAGTTGAACCTTCTTATCTGGCCAATTATAATAAGTATGAGGGGATGTTTCCGTTTCAGCTTTAGGTATTTCAAGAAAATCCTGATTACTCCCCGTAGAGGCGGAAACAATAAATGGCTTCGAAGAGGTTGTGAATCTTTTGGAAGAAGAATGAAGTAGCTGACTCCATTGCTTTGGTTTTGATCCACCAGATACACCTACAGAGAACATATATATTGTCAGTTAAATTTTAGCATATTCAAAAACCAATAGGCTAGTACATTCAGGAAGCGAGCATACGTTTGAAAGGTAAAAGCGAAGATGAAGCTAAACCAGAAAAGGCGATTAGGGCCATTGATGATGACAGACGCCAGAGAGGATGCAAATGAATTATAAGCCAGGT